AAATATCAAACTTTGTTCTAGTGATCACAAGACATATAAAGATTCAATTAATTCATGCTGTATGCCTACATTGTAATAAACAACCAAAATGAATGCAAAAATTCTAAATGATGGACAGGTTAGACAAATCAGCACTGCTTTAGAAAATGCCTGGGCACACCTGTGCTTTTATATCTGACTTGGTTTCAATCGATGTAAAAATATGTGGAGGGGAGAGGGTGGGGGTTAATCAACATGCTATATGTTTATGGCATGCTGTTTATTTTTCAAGCCATATGAAATTAATTCACCTGGGCAGTTGGAATTGGTTGCAAATGGCAACTTTGTAACTGACTTGCTTTTAGTAAATAAAAACGCTCTCTCTATTATCTAGATTCCTTGAATGGTAATAAAGTGAATATACAGTGATAGTAAAATAGATCAGATGTTTTAAATCAGATTGTCCACTAAAAAGTTTTGTAGAGAACTGACTAAAGAACGGCAAAATTTAGGATAAAAAATATCTAAAATGGAACAATCTTTCAAATCACCCGTTTATGCAGTTCAGCTTTTCTGGGCTAAATTTTCAATTCCCTATTAATTCCCCCCCACATCCCCTCAACTGTTTGGCCTATGAAAAATACTGACCGCTTTTTACAGTTTATTTTTATTATAATTCTGATGAATTCAGGAAAAGCATCAACTTCTCCAGTTTCTTTTTTGTAAGCAATGTTATCAGTCAACTGACCAGCTGCTATCAACATTTGTCAAGAACCAGTAATTCAAAACAATAATGTTGTCGACTGACTAGACAAACATAAATGCAATTTGCTTGCCTAATACAGCTCATTATCTGAAATGACCAGGAGAACCTCTGTTATCTGATTCTTGCTTTAAAATGGTTCAGTTGATTGTTCTCATTGCTTCAACTTAGGACCCTGAATGCCATCAGATACATGTGCTAATGAATAAACTGATCACCTAGGGTGGGAACTGCTGGCCAGTCCTTTCTTATCAGAGCCCATCAGATGCATAATCATTACAGAAAGAGATAATGCATCAATCAAAACTTCTGTTTGTTTCGAGTGTGAGGATCATGTATTTAGTAAATCAAATGACTTTACGATGCCATGTTTTACAGGTTAGGACTTGAAAACAATCCTCATATGTTTGTGCGTAGCTTACAAGATGCAGGGGTGCACAATGGTGCTTGTGCTAAGTGCAAAACATGCACACCTCTATTTTTATTTATTTATTACTGGTATTTATAAAGCGCCAACAGATTCCGCAGCACTGATATACCCTAGGATTTCCAGGTCCTAGACACATCCCTCTCATTTGTGCTGATGGGTAGTGCATGAAAACAGCTGTCTTCTAAAATGTAGAATTCTTACACTGAAGGTAATCAATAAGTAATACTTCAGGTTTCTACAAATTTAAAGCCAGCACTTTTCATGTACTGGTCATGTGCATACAAAAGGTACATGTGTCCATGAAAATATGGTGGATTTGGAAACCTTAATGTATCCATAAGCACAGTTACATAGAGTGGGAAAAGGCATGACACCAACAGTATACACATTAAAGGAACACTAAAGTGATAGGAATAAAAACCTGTAATATCCCTGTCCCTATATAGAAATACCCACATTTGTCTTATAAAATGAAAACACAAATGATTTACTCACTTTTTGCCAGCACCAAGGCTCCCTTAGTGCTGATTAACTCTCCGCCTCCTGTGATGTCACGGAGGTGGCATGACTTCCTCTATGACGGTCCAATCCAATGCTCCAATCTAATCCATAGAGGAGCATTGGAGACCCAATGAGCATGCGTGGTGAGTTTTGCGCACATTGAAACTTCCCCATAGGAAAGTATTAAGTCAATATTTTCCTATGGGGCATTTTGTGTCACATGAACACATTTTACTTGGTCAGTGCTGTCCTTGTAACAGCCACAAGAGGAAAATATAATACGTTTCTTATAAACTGGGAGACTTTAGCGATCCTGGCCTTTAACAACACCCATGACACTAATTTATCAATATCAATATATATTCAACATACAAATGTATACATTGTGTATAATATTAAATTTATAAACAAATTAGCAGAGCGTGGCTGCTATTATTATTATTAGATTAAAGCTGCAGGGAATTTTAGCACATTGTGTTAATCCACAACAGTCAAGTAGGCTTTCCACGCATGACTTTTGACTTGCTCTAAGCAGCCATCAAGGCCTGTGTGGATAGAAGTGCAATCCTGTTCTGGAAATTGCTCCCAACAATAACAGTTTATTTTTTAGTTAGATTTTTTTTTTTTGTTTTTTTTTTACCTTACTCTTCCATGTGTGTATTTCTTGTTCCACACTTAAATAGTTATATCAAACTGGACATTAAACACACAGCTTTATCCATCTATCTGTCTATGTTTTCCATACACATGCAACCTCTCTCATTCTCATTCTGCCTTCCTTACTTCCCTGTCCTATGCAGATATTTAACATCAATCTCTCCTTTCCACCTTTCATACTGATATCCAGCCATTCTTTCTTTATTGCATCTTTTTACACTGCTCTCTCATTTTAATAAATACATATCTACCTTTTCTTTTTTTACACTCACTTTTCCTCAATGTCATTTCATCTCTATCACACACACACACAAGCATACACACACACTACAGCCATATCTCACCTACTCTATCTCTCTATACACTTTCTCCTCTCACACATACATACTACTTCCTCCTTCTCTCCCTTACTTGTCTGTCTGTCAGTTTGTTTGTCTGTCTGGCTGACAAGTCTCATGTTCTTGTCTGTATTTCCTTCTTCCCCCACTCACCACCTTCACCTCTTCATTCCACTGAATTCATAATCTGGATATACATTGTAAAACTACAATAAATACATTAGAAGTACATTAAAAACAATAAACCATCTCATCTCTTCTTTTTTCACATTTTGATCCTGTCACATGAAGGGAGTTACCTGTGTTTTTTTTTTTATTAAATTAGTTTTGCTTGCATTAAAAGTCATCTTTGCCCTTAGGTAAAACTGACATCATATATACAGAGAGACAGAGATTGTTTTCTTTCTACAAAGCCCAATTGAGTGCCCCTTGTACTATTGTTATTCCAGAAACCACAACGAATGTCCTCAACTGAATAGGAAATTATTTCAGTCAATAATTCTCCATCTGTTATTTAGAATAGACAAGATTTGCTAAACCATCGCCAACCCATATATATAATTTTTTTTTTTCTGCAAACTCCTGCCTTTTTTTTTTTTATCTTACAAGGGCGATTGAAACTTTATAGTGCATGATTCATAGAGAGGAACTGCACTGGGAGGTATAGAGCGAATAACATTAATCAGTGTCACACCACTAAAATAGATATGAATATGAATTCCCCCTATTGCAGACGATATAAATATTCTGCTGAATAACATCACTTATTATGAATAAGCAAAAAGTAAAAATAAACTCAGATTGAAGGAGATTGGTTTAGAGCTTCATAAGAAATAAAACACACAAACACAAGCACACACACAGTATCTACACACAGTTATTTGACATAATCTGTCATTTACCATGATATAAACCACATTGTATATATTTAGTATATATTTATTTATTTTTAAAATTGATGAAACTGTATTTACTAATATATTTCACTGCAAATGGATAAAGCACATGTAGGGTTATTTTTTTGTTGTTGTTGTTTACAGGAATAAATAAAGTTTTGTACTAATTAACCAAATATTTACAATATTATTTTGGGTAATTTTCCTAGGGTAAACTGTATTTATATCTTCATTTTTATTGAAAATATATAGTGTAGAAAAAAAGAGTCTAACAGTGCACTCATTTAATTAAATTCTGCACAGCTGCTTGGGTGTAAATTTGCAAAGGTTACATAGCAATCTTAAAGTATTGTGAAAACACAGGGTTGTGGATAACTGACAATAGAATTAAGGATATTTGGCTCCGCATTGAAAATATTTTGCAACTCAGCTATTTTTTCCAGACAATTGTCCTACAATGTAAAATTCCATTGTCAATTCTCCTCACTTCTTGGTTTAACGTATAAACCCTACAATCTTTAAGAAATGTATAGGGACATTAAAATATTGTCTTCGATAGGTACACGATGCAGTGTAATAGAATATATATGTGTACTGCACGTGGATATTGTAAAACACACATACATAAGCGTGTGGGTGTATATGTGTAAGTGTGCATGGGAGAACAAAACTCATTATATTTTAATTATTATGGCCTTAATAGTGTGCGTCATAAACTGTATTGTAAATACAAACTATATAATGAGATGTAGCATGTAAAACTGGATTTTGTGTGTTTTGTTTATTTGTGAAGTCTTGCAGCTAATTTCCATAATGTGGTAGAGATTTAGGGTGATTCAGATTCCCAATGATATGCAATTCGATGAATGTACATCCATAGGATGAATTGTAAACCGCACAGCTCTGTACACAAACAAGAATTAGCAATTCAAAGCCTTCCACAGAATGAACCGGTTTTGCAGGATAACGAGAATAGTAACGCCTCTCTGTCTGTAATTTGTAAAATCTTAATTAACCTCATTCAATGGGTGAACACAGGACAAATATCGGTAATGACATCGACAGATATCTCACAACTACACGTCCATTACGTCAAGCTGATCACTTTTGTGTCACTTCAAACCAAGTCACTGTTCTAGTGAATGGACTCAGCAAATCCTATTACAAAAACTGAGCAAAAATAACTTGGCTTTTTCACTGATAGAGTTACAATAAGATACACAGATATTGCTAGATGCTAACTTTTAATGTTTCCAACAAATATGTAACAAAACTAAAAGAAATAAATAAACAAATAGAAAGTAGTCTTTAAACAATATCAGGATCAAACATCCGGGACAAGCATTTAAGAAATGTATCAATACTAAAAAAATATATAGTCACGGTACTGGGCAAAAAAATATATATATATAACCTACAGCAAACGAAATTATTTTATGATATTCACACGTCCCGTGTCACTTATGTATATATATATATATATGTATATATATATATATATATATATATATATATATATATATATATATATACATATATATACATAAGTGACACGGGACGTGTGAATATCATAAAAAACATGTGTGTGTGTATATATATATATATATATATATATATATATATATACACACACACACATGTTTTTTATTTTAGCGTTTTACTGGGTTTTTTTTTGTTTTGTTTTTTTAAAGAAATAAGGATATGCAGTTCCCAATGTAACCGAGCGTGATTTTGCTGGGCCCTAAGCATTTATTTTTTTTAGAATATGTATCATCACACGACAGGTGCAATTCAAAAACCATATACTTCTAAGGAAGGAGCAGTCACCATGGAAACCAATAGACTATCTACACCGCATTTTACATAGAATATGCACCAGCTTACCTTTAAAAATAAAACCTCAAATAAAGTTTTTACTACGTCGTCGAAGATTATAGTTTGTAAAAAGTAAAAAAAAAAAAAAGAGAAGATAATATAACGAAATATAAAGAATAATGTCTGCAGATGTAATTAGTTACCACTCGATGATAGAATTATCTCTTAAAAACGAGTTATTTCATTTGTGCAAATAGGCAATCGTGCTGTACATTCTACTTATTGTTCGTCTATACCAATTACGACCTATAGAGTGCGCTATTGCACTGCACAAGAGTTCCTTTCTAATGTAGAGATTTTGGAAAGCTGAATTTGCCACGCTGACACTTAGCTCCGAGCCCACTCTCACAAACATCAGTAGTATGCTAAACTGATAGAAGAAAAACTATGGATTTAATGAACACCGGAGCTTCAATACGCTTATCACCTTTCCACTGCTGCTACTACTGTACATATTTTAAAGGGAATACACAGAGATCCAGCTAATCCACTCAGTTAAATTACCAGTTCCCAAACACAACTGGTATATTTTAGCCCTAAACCGAACATCGCGTGAACAAAATCACACATTTTCATATAATAGCAAAAATATAATAACTGTATGGCGGGGAGAAGGAGAGGTGGGGGACTAATGTGAGGGGTCTAAAATAAAGTTTTATTACTGTTTCGTCACCTAATTAGACAGTGTGCATGTAATCTTTATATGCAGATGCTTTTAATAATAATAATATTGATGAAAATAACTACATACACATCTATATACGCAAATCACGCATTCTATGTATCTAATATCTTGTGTATATTATTACACACACCATACATTTATAAACATGCTAATGATACACACTCACACACACACATATGCAAGGCACAGACACACTATTTACTTTGTGTGATTGCTCTACCTGATTTTTCGCAATTTTGAACAGCTACAGACAATTACGCTGGCAAGAAGACCTCTGTTTTTACATCTTGATCACTTTGGTTTGCATCTTGATGGAATTTTATTAATATTTTATTCAGAAATCGCTTCTTGCTCCGACAAATGCTTGCTTGAGAATGGCTGTTTTTGGATAGGGCGTCCCCATTATTTCTTAATGACTTTCCAGCACTCTCTCTATTTTCAACCGCATGAACGAAAGCATCTCGCATGTTTTATGCACCTCAATGCTCGTTTAGTGTTCTCAATTAGAAATTAAAAAAAAAATCAGGAAACACAAATATTACAGATTTTTAACAGATCAGTCTGGAAGATTAATGTTTAAACAAATGCATCCTCACACGGAAGCTTCGTTATTCTGTTCTTCTAAGCTTCTGGTTAGATCAACTCATTCTCCATTAAAATCTCCCACTAGAAGGTTTGGCACAAACACTTAGATCCTCTGATATTTCCGGGACTACAAACCAAATAAATAAACACCCCCTTTCTATGCCTTCTTTCAATTTGTTTGACCAGGAAAATCTGGCAATTTATGAACTGTCAACTTGTGCTGTCCTCTCTCCACAGGAAAAAATCAACAAATGTCTGTAGATCCCCTTATTTAAAATCTATAGTCCTAAATTGTAAATCAATATTCCAATGTCCGATTCGAAAACAATTTTCATACAATTCCCAAGTAGGAAAAAAAAAAAAAAACACAGTTGATGGAAATTGAAAAGAAATTATGCAAGTGGGAGGCAGATTATTTATAGGTACTATATTGGAGTAATCACTATAAGCAAGCATGACGGTGTCTCAACGTAGCCTTTCTCTTTTATAATGACTGACATTAAAATGGAAATGAATTATATAACTTAAACCAAGAATAAAAACGACAACTGTTACATCAACCTAATATAAAATAATAAAAATAGCTTAAAAAAAAATATGAATGGAGATTGGACCAATATAAAATATATATATATATATATATATATATATATATATATTATTTTATTTATTTTTAAAACACAACAATGAAAAATACCAAGGTTTTCTCATAATTTCATTTAGTTTATTAGACAAAATATATGATTTAGACAAGTTTTTCTGGCGCTCTATTTACAATCTGAGATCACTTATACAGAAGAAAAGAAGAAAAAAAAGAGAAAAACACATATATCGCAGGAACATTTACCAAAGGCAATTTTCAATGTATGGTTTTGAATTACAGGAGCTGAAATGGTGCAGGGTGAGAAATTTACAAATCTGCTAAATCAGTTGTTTGGATCGCAACTTATTGCAAAAAGAGATTCAATGTCATTTATATGAATACCCATTATTGTCCTTATGTTGTGAACAGTCTCTTAATCACTTTGAAAGATTTAAGGATCAAGAAGGAAGGGCTGAGTAATATGGTGTCCTTCTTTGTTGATTGATGGAACTGAAAAGAAAAAACAAACATAGATATATAAATATTTTGTAGCAAAAAAAATAATGTTAACAATAACAGATAAAACTTTTTTTTTAAAAATGACATCCACTTAACTTTAAAAAAAAAAAAAAATAAAAAAACAATATGTTATATTAACTATATTATTATTATTATTATTATCTGCTGTTTATTTTTATTACCAGGATTTAAAAAAAAAAATAATCTCAGTGCTATAATAAATTAGAATACATTTTAAAAGCTACTAAGGAAATTAAAAACAAAACTAAGTTTGGGGGAAAAATCACTAGAACTTGTATCCAGCTCTCAAGTCAGTTTAATGTATAGTCTGTTCAAGCCATCACAGCTCGCTGTTTAGTGAATAGACCCCATTTTGTCTCTATGCCTGAGATCGATTGCAGTGAGCTTTTCTAAAAGCAGATCCCGGTGTTTTCAGACCACAATTAAATAAAAGATGACTACTTCTTTCACGAACAGCCCTGAAAAGAAGGTTTAACTGAGGCGGAGATTGAGTTCTGGAGACGTTTCTCTTTCTGGAGGGAAAACAGAAAAAAAAAAAAAGAGAAAATTTTTACAAATGCTAAATTAAAAATAAATAAAAATTAAGTAACCAGCTAGCTTGTATTGCGTTGTGAATCTCTGCAGGCTATTTTTTGGGGAAAACTGACAACGGATGATTACATCATACACAGCTGAAGTGTCTTTTATGACAGATTGCTACAGTAACAAGGGTTAGGGGAGGATTGAAACATTGTTGTTTCAAATAGAACACGTAACAATTGACCCTATTCAACATGACATGATATAGACTGGCTCAAAGGCTGACAGAGGTCTAAAGGCTATTTGCAATATGGTTTCATTCATCACCTGTGTGCTTGGGACTGCTCCTCTCTGTGATTTTTTTGCTGCTGAGGACCCCAGGTTGGCTGTTAACAGAGGAGACTGCTGGGTGGGCCTGGAGGTGGTGGTGGTTGTGGTGAGCTGCGTGGTGGTGGTGGTTTTACACCTAATGGACCTCATGTTTTATCAGGGAACTCTGAAGGTGAGAAAAGCTCGGCTTTGTCCAATTATGGAATTTGCCAATCTGGCATGTGTATAGTCCATGGCTAGAAGAATGCTGGATGCTGGATGGGGGAGATGTGTGGTTCACTTGGGGTGGAGGAGAAGTCTTTAGGGCCCCATCAGGGGTTGTGGCAGTTTCTGCCAAAGACCATATTTTTGGTTTGCTGTGTGTTGGCACTTGTAAATTCCCTTTACGCGCCAGGGCTTCAATTCTATTGCTAGTTTCAGAGTTTTCTTTTTCCCAGTGACAAAGAGTCCTTTGATTTGAGTCCTTCAGAGGCTGAAGAGAATCACCTCGCTTTCTTTCAGGCTGTCCTCGCTCTGTCTCAAGTGCTCTGGCTTGTCCTCCCTCTTCCTCGTTGCTCTTGTTCCCCTCATTATCATCAATTTTATGTCTATGCTCTCCGGTCGATCTCCTCATCATCTGCCATTCTTCTCATGGTCCCCTTCATTATCACTTCCAAAGAGATTACCATCTTCTTCTCCTTTTGCACCCCAGTCACCTTGTTTTCCTTCTTGAGCCTCCTCCCTGGCATTGGCAAACCAGGTGGAGACCTGAGTGAGGTCCATTTTGGTGATGATGGCCAACATGATCTTCTCCCCCTTTGTGGGGTAGGGGTTCTTCCTGTGCTCATTCAGCCAGGCCTTCAATGTACTAGTGCTCTCCCTAGTGGCATTTTTGGGCCGCCCGGGATCACCATATTGGAATTGTCCATAGGGGTAATAGCCTGGGGCAGCATGGGCAGCAAAAGTGGCAGGATGGACTCCAGGGTTATCCTTCAGTTCATACTGCGATCCCTGAAACACACCAAGAGAGAGGAAGAGGTCAATCACTGTTCCAATTGTCCTTATACATTAGTAAATAAAAGTACTGTGTGTATATATCACACACATATACACACTAAGCTAACACAAACTAAAGAGGTATGACTATGTTTCCACAAATCCAGCAATTTGGGGCTTAAGGCAGAACGAAGAGAAAAATAAAATTTATACAGCTTTTGGGCAAAACAAGTTTGCCCTCAAATCCCAGAAGCTTTGCCCTACCATCAGTAAAAAGCCTCAGCAGATATCTTGGGATTTGGTAACCTTGACCATATTTAAAACAATACTTAGAAACTGTTAATAAGGGTCTGCAGTTTTCTAACACATATGAAGCTCCCGGAGACCTATCATTTCCAAATACCCTCCCTGTGCAGATAGACAACCAGAAGGATGAAAAATGAAAAATACATCTCGTCTAACAATCATCTTCTTATGTGTGAATGGTATATGGAATCTTAACAAATAGTAACCAAAAACGTCAAAGAATAAACATCTCAGATTTACCAAGTGTCATTTAACATTTTATATAAGAGAGGAAAAATGAACGGTACAAAAAAATAAAATTAAAATGTTTTTTAGAATTATACATAAGAGCATCTTTGAGGTTGGTCCTAATTTATTAAGTTATTTAAAGAATTTCTACAATAAATTATCTAGTTATAATAAATCACAGCACTCCACGATAGAAAATGAATAAATAAATAGTGCTTGCTAGTTCTTTAATGTGATTTTTTTTTTAAATCTATTTTTTTAATTACTATAAAACTTTTCAGGTAAAGTGGGAATTTAATAAATCGCAAGGGTGTTTTTTTTTTTGTTTTTTTTTTTAAACAAAAACAGATAATGTTTTCCATTAACTTCAATAGGGTCCCATTAGTGTTATACAGTACTGAGGTGTCAGTGCTTCCTAAAATAACAATTAATTTGCATTTATTTTACTAAATCGGAATTATATGTAAATGAAAAACCGCGAGAAAAAAAAAAAAGCAATAATTGCTGGATTTTTGGATTTAAAAAGAACCGATATGAAATAGATTAAATAGGAAGAATTATTATATTATTATATCATATTCTAATTTTTCCCCCACAGATTTAAATATTTTACTGCATACGTTCTACATATGTAATGTAAATAAAATCAGATTATATTCTATAGAAATCAATTTTATGGGTCAAACATTTTTTTCTATAATTTTGAAAGCCCTGTGAAAAAAGATATTTAAGGACAGAATACCAAATAGTGAACAGAACTAAACTTTTAAATGGAATTTATATAGCACAATTAGATTTGTGCTAATGGTTACGATTTTTTTTAATGTCTAACTTCCAATCAATTCTAAGTAAATAAAAACATCAAGAGATGACACTTCTCTATCCAAACATTAAAGACATTTAATCTTGTGCTAATGCCATTATAAAAAGGTATAGATGTAACGTATTGTGTTGATCGCAAAACAAACTGAAATACAACAACTGCAAGTCCTGGATTTTAAGGTGTTTGCTTTAAAAGGCGTGTTGAAGAATAGAGACTTGTTTCTTGCAAGGTTTTAAATAAACATACTATGTTATGATCCTTTCTTTTTAACAAAGCAAGAGTAATTGGTGTTATGTCAGAGAAATAGTAGCAGGAATGTATTTAGATCTCTGAAAAATGAAATATGAGTACTTCCTTAAAGCTTTGAAAAGAAAACTCAGGAAGTAATCGACTGGTAACTCATGATTTTCTGTACATTGTTGCAATATTATTGTACCTTTAAAAACAAACGTAAACCGTGATTTAGTCCCAGCAACAAACTATTCAATGTAATCTTGTGCAGTTAGGCTGAGTTCTTAGAGTGTTTCCCTATGTACTAAGAGGCAAAGACTATAATAGAAGCTGAGTTCCGTGTTACTGCATGCTTATCCCCTGGGGAAAGAGCTCGCCTATGCTATATATATTCAGAGAGGTTTGTTTTTTTAATGTATATGAGACAGTGCCCTTTTGTCTTTCTAACCATTAATATCCATATAATGCACCCAATCGTGCAATTATTTGCAACGGTATTTTAAGGGTTAATGAAAGGGGAGATGAGCACTATAAAAAAGACACGACCAAGAAAAAGACAAGAATAAATACTAGGTGTTAGATTCTAGAGACCTGAGCATATTGAATCTCATCTGAACAAAATAAATAATATATATTTATAGTACAGAATGCTCAATGTAAAATTACGATTTTGGTCACCAAATTCGTACACACTGCATTTACAGTTAAAAGAAGTGATCTATAATAAACACTTTTTAAAAAAAATTAAATCAATTTAAAAAAAACAAAAAAAACACAACAACCCAAAACACAAATGTAAAGAATAATATTTGTGTCACTCATTTTTATTTTCTACAGAATAAATAAAGGTACAGAGTGCCATTAAACACAATACCTCTATCTGTCAGAGTACTATAGTCGGTGTCTTGCAGTGGTTATGGTGATCGGGCACTTACCATCTGAGAGAAGAGGCTGAGGTCGGTGGTGTAGGGCAGGAAGGCGCTGTAGTTGGGGGTGCTGTACGGACCGGCATACATGCCCAGCACTGAGGTCACGGCGGCGCTGGAGCTGCTGCCCAGTTCGGTCGCGGTCGGTCTCCCAGATCCGGCAGCCGCAGCCGCCGCAGCAGCAGCAGCCGCCGCAGCCAGCACCCCCGGCCGGTCCCCTCCATAGACGGCAGCCTGGCCCGGGCTCAGGTACTGCGGGTAGCCCATCTGGGAGAAGGCCATGTCTGTCAGCGGCAGCCTCCTTCCTGCAGAGAACCACTGGCCGGCACCACAACAACAACAACAACACAAACTCTGCAAACAGCCCGGCGATAGGAAGTGAACTGTGGGACCCGGTACCGGGAGACAAACTCTGCCAAACAAAGTGTGAGAGCTGCTCCCGCACTGCCCGCCCGCTCGCTCACTGAGCGCTAGCTACACCGGGAGGCTGGCTCTGTCCCCCCCTCCAATCTCGGCTCCTCCGTGCTCCTAAATCCCTCAGATGTGATCTGATCAACAATTGAGCTCCAACTGATGTGTCTGCCCCGAGGTCCTGGGCTGATCTTTCACATACAATTTGAAGTTGATGCCTTGATTGGCATCCGCTGGAGCCGCTGGCCCCGCCCACCCCGAGCACGTGGTCCGAGCATTGGTTGCACTGCTTCTCTCTCAGTGTACCAGACACTGTGTGTGTGTGTGTGTATGTGTGTGTGTGTGTGTGTGTGCGTGTGTCTGCCTGGGCTGTGTATTTAATGTTTAGCAATGGGCTCCTTTCAGAGAAGCCCCCAGTGCTGTATGACAACCTGTCTACACGATTTTACAGCTGTCCAACATTGGAGTTTTGCTGTTTGGAGCCCATAGAGTGTCCCCTTTAACAAAAACAACTGTGCTGCTGCTGTGTGTGTGTTACCTATAGTGTGTGTGTGTGCTCTCTGTATTGTAAGAGTGCAGGAAATGAGGAAATATAATGACTGGCTGCTTTAAACACACGTCTTTATTCCATTAATGGAGATATAGGTACATAGATTAGTAGAAAGATAGCAAACACAATCAATTAAACACACACACATATATATATATATATATATATATATATATATATATACACACACACACACACATATATATATATATATATATATATACACACACACACACACACAAATAATAAATATATATAATGAAATAAAAGCAAGCTGATGTCTGGCTAAAGTTTGGTAAAAGTTTGTTAAACATCTGTTGTCAGTTACATTAACATAGTGTGAAAACATACTATAGCTAATTACTTTCTGATTTCTTTCTTTCTCCCATTTAGAGAAAATAACAGCATTTTAAAGTTTTTTTTTGTTTTTTTTTATTCCGAATTAGAAACAAACCATTTCTAGGAAAGTGGAAACTTTCTCTTCCTCAGTAAAATTCAACTAAATTCTCGCAGAAGGTTTTATATTGTGGTGGATGGGGTAAACCTGAGTATTATAACGTATGTGATTCATTGTTTTATGTACAACACAGGATCTAAATCTAAAAACCTAAAAAAAAAACATATCTACATATTAAGGAGAAATAGCAAAGGTCACAAGCTTCGAGTCAAGGCGTGAAATAATGTGTTGGATTTAATTAGATAGTGATTAAGGCGAAGATATTGAGAAAGAATACACCACGCGTGCTTATATATTAAAAAACAAAAAATTTTGTCTCCAATATTCTGTTCTTTTTAAGGTGGCTGATAAAACGTATAATATAGGTGCCAAAAAATGTTATGTATTAAATATGTTAATAATATCACATACACATGATCCGATTTGGTGGGTCCTACGCTTATTTATTAACTGAACGCTAGCCCTTACAACTTACACATCATACCACAAATCTCATGTCTCTAATTGCAAACACAATTTCATTTTTATAAAATCTCAATTAATAAATCTAATTTGTCTTGCCCTTAGGATTTAATGTAGGCAGACAATTGGCTTATTTTTCTGACCATTAATTACATGTGAAATATTTGTATTATATTAACCGGACTGAATATCTCTATATGTATACACGCACACGAAGTCAAATATACATGCATGAATATGTATCAATAAAAAAATCAATAACATAAATGGCATAATAACAGCCAGGAGCTACATTTAGTTTTATGTATTCTAGTTGGTCTGAGCATGAACAAAGGAATTTCACCCCCCTTATTCACCTTAAAACACCCCCACCCTGTAATGCCACCAGGCACTTAAAAGTATTAAGCTTAACACGTTGTACTCTTAGAAAATTACAACTGTGTTTTGCAAACGGATGTATCAGGTTCCAGATGCACAGGTAAAGGTGGGATTCAGCCAGAGACACTGTTAAATCTTCTTAGTGATCTAGGTATTGGTGGAGTTTATATTTAGCAGCTTAGGAATTGGAGATCCAAGTCTTTCTCTGTATCTTGCCTTGCAGTGTAACAGATCCCCAGTAGGAAGGGGAGCATCACAAACTGCTGTGTACAAAGCTTTTAGGGATGCTACACATTTACTGAAATAGGCTGAAATTCTTACTTATCACAAGAGGAATAGGGATTCAGAGTCCAAAATCATTTCCTAACTGCAGAAAGTTGGGAAGATTTAACAGAACATCCATTGTCTGACTCAGCAAATGTTTAGGGTAATGGCTAAGCTGTGTTCTATTAAAGCCACCAATTATTGTGAATTTCACATAAGTTTAACAGAACTGGAAACATGTAAAATCCTGCTTGTACAACTGAAATGGTCCATGTTATGGCACAATAAGTCTGCCCACTAGCCATTTCTTCAAAATAAACTCTTTTTTTTTCTTTCTTGTCATTTCCCTCTCTTTCTGAACAAGTAAGCTTGGACCATAACTGCACTGCTAAGCTACTTAGCAAGAAATCATTTTAGCAATCCATGCTCACCTTAAAATACATTATCCAAAGCACACTTAACGGTTGTGTATTAGAAATCAGAAGGCAAAATGTGTGCCACGCCTGACCATGCTTCGAATAAGTAATTCTACACTGAGGTGTATCGCCTAATGGAATTTTAATGACTAGAACCTTGTATAAACATAACATGCACTATATTGAAGTCATGTTTTATTCTGTGCTACAAACAATATGTTAATATTATATAGATAAAAAAATATACTAGGTATGTATATGTACAGAAAACTAAAGTAACACATAGGTTTATATACATATAAACCTATGTGCTATTTTAGTTTTCTGTGTGTGTGTTCATATAATTTGTTTTACATGTTTATAACTCTATCTATCTATCTATCTATCTATCTATCTATCTATCTATCTATCTATCTATCTATCTGTCTGTCTGTCTGTCTGTCTGTCTATCTATCTATCTATCTATCTATCTATGTCTGTCTGTCTGTCTTATATATATAGCTTTAGAATAAATGTATGTCTATCTAAAAAAAAACAAAAAAACAAGCATTGTCTGAATTGCTTGCAAGCCCTATTACATTTCGAATAGGTCTTCCAAAATTTCAGTTGCCAATTCATTAGCTAAGCTCACTTAAGACAGCAGCAGTGGCTGCACCATTGCAATGATGACTGCGAATCAGATCATCAGCAATGGCCCCCCTTATAATGATGGTGATGTGCTTAGATGGGGACGAAAAACGTGAATAAAACAGCTAAAAGCGTCGGGATAATACGATTATGCCTTGTGTAATTGTTTGAAATAAATTGCACACTGTTTAAAAACACATTGACCTAAATGGTCATGCTCCTTTAATTTAAAGATCAGTAAGCAGATAAACTTCACTTAAAATGAAGGCTCCTCGCTATGAATTTACATAAGATAGTGATCTCTGCAGTTTATCAAGGAAATACATACACCACCAGGAGATTTGTTTTTCTTTTCCTTTCAATTTTTTCCTTTTTTTATTTTTTTTATTAATAACAAATCATTTGAGATAGGGGTCTGATAAGAAATGCAAATCCAGGCATAGGGGTCGCTGCATGGCTGAATTTTAACTAAAGGCTGATGCTTCAGGAATGGGCTAAAGGTCCCTTTGTAGAGAGGATAAATGGAGCTTTAGCAGTGACTGCTCAGAATGAAGTCAGTGATAGCGATCTAGTCCAGATGTCCTGCTGTACAGAGTGCATGGAGCAGCGCTGGGAGTCTGCACCGGCTATCTGAGAGCACTGATGGCAATCAGCACAACACATCAGCAAGGGGGGAATGGCAATTGTGATAACATGCTGGAAATGTGCAGAGCTGGAGATGGCACTGATAAACCGTGCAACATAGCTCCAAATACAGATGACAGAGATGTTGAAAGAAGACACCTAACAGGGGAGAGGATAAGATGCTTAGTGGAGCACAATTTGAGAATAGTACTGGCTTAGATAGTTAGCTGCTCACTCCTGTAATTTGTCATTGTGCTGATATCTGTGAGTGTGTGTTGTATAAAAAAAATAAAATAGAGAACTCCAGAACTATGCACGTACAGTCTAGAAACAGGGCAGAGTGTGTACTGTCTGTAGATATAATATTAATATTGTACATGATCTAAAAACAGGGCATTCTAGAACCAAGAACAAACATTCTAATAACAGAATGCACTTTATACACAGGTAGTATAGACCATTTTATTTATGTACGTTGATGTCTATCTATCTATCTATCTATCTATCTATCTACCTATCTATCTATCTATCTATCTATCTATCTATCTATCTATCTATCTATCTATCTATCTATCTGTCTGTCTGTCTGTCTGTCTGTCTGTCTGTCTGTCTGTCATCTATCTATCTAATCTATCACTATATTATATAGATATGCATTCTCTCTATATCCTGTATTTGTAAAACACGTGTTAAAAAGTAGAATTCACTGTAGAGAATTCGTTAAATAAAACAAAGCCCTTGAATGACATTATACAAAATGCGTAAAATATATATAATGTGTTATTTAACCTCCCCCCAAAAAACAAAAACACAAATTTTAAATCTACCTAGTAAGCTGCATAGCTTTAAACCCACAGTATACAGCTTTTTAGGTGTATTTTCCATAGTTGATTTTTAAAAATACACTGCACATTTCTAAAAATCGTAGATCCAAAAAATAAATAAAATAAAATGAACTAATTTAAAAAAACAACAACAACAGGATTTTAGTTTTTTACGTAAATAGTAAATAAATTCGCAAAACGGATACCATTAAACCTTATAATATTGTTAACAAAAAAAAAAAAAAAAAACAATTGTTCACCGTGCTATGAGAGGAATAAATGTTTCTGAATTTCTGTATTGCATATCCTTAAATAATAATGATAATAATGACAATATAATGTATATAGATGCTGTATGTTAAGTTATATTGATACACGTATCCTGACAAGGGGGACTGAGTATACTGCTGGGCTGCCACTTGACAGCAAGTAGCTTTTTTACATTCAACTCCTATTTAGTCCTCCAGAGCACTGATTTATGAGCCTTGTTAGATAATCATTATTACTTAACACCTTTTTATTCGGCAGGGTCTGGGAGAACACCCTGCTTTGTGACAACAACGCATGTGTCAAACAATTAAGGGGAGCGTATCAATCTATCTAAATATCCAGTGAGCCAGGCTGTGTGTGTG